ATTTTTTGTTCTTTTTTTTATTAAAATTTAATTGGTTAATCAATGTTGATCATCACGTGAAATTAAACCAATAAATGTTAGCCACCACTTTAAAATTTCATCACATACTTTTTGGTAATGAACAGAATCATGTGATTTTGAAAAAGCGCGTATTACCTAGGTTCAGGTTTATGAATTATCAAGTTTTCAAAAGTGAGTTCGGTATCTCATCTGATGGTTTACGGATCGTTGTGGTGTTTGGATCTTCAAGCGGGCATTTATGACTCACTCAACCAGGGAAGGGCAATTGAGGTTTCCCTTCTGGGCTATGCTTGCTGGTCTGCTGTGTTCTGCTAGTGCTAGAGTATTTCCTTATATACTCGCTAATTTTTCTCTTTCACTAGGACCATTACCAAAGACCTGACATTGAAAAATAACAGCTGGAAAAAAAGAATGCTTTGCAAACGGTATGATGTTATGTTCTATCGACGGCTGTCTTTGTACATATTTTTATTTTTAGTTATCTTATTTTTAGTATGAATGTCGAACAAAGATCAAACGAAGAACACAGGTGATGATGAAGGATTTGGCTGATGAAACAGTCTTAGAAAGTCGAGAAATGAGCACTACAACGAGAATATATCAAGAATCGAGCACCGTAAGATCTGCAAAAAAAGTAGGAATTGATGTTTCCAGTATTTTTGTATTTTATAAATAATTGGATTTTGAATAGACTTGAGAGAAAAATAATCCAGCAAGAGTAGAAATGATCGAAAACGATGTAATTATCCGGTATCCCTATTTTAATATTCGAATCCCTTCACCACGTGTTGTAACTTTACCCCCTCGACATGACTCATATATACAGGCTCAATGACCACAAGCTTCTGATCTGTCAGATGCTTCCATGTCCCATGAAATCGAGATAATTATACTTATATTAATGTTCAGCTATGAAAAAAGTATTTTCCCTAAACTTTCCGAGCGTATGTAGGCAGAAACTGGTGTTTTTAATTCTGAAAGAGATGAATTGGATACATCAGATTATGAGTTAAACTATATATAGGGGCTAAGCTATTAAAATCACCTTTCGGGACCCTACCAACTAAAATTGAGATTTTTGATTCATATTATTATATGAT